GCTCAGGTCATGATCTCGCGGTTCGTGGGTTCGCCTGGAGCTGCTGCAGATTGTGTGCCTCCCTCTCTCTTGGTCCCTGCTCTGCTCGCACTCTGTCTCTCTCTTTCTCTCTTAAAAATAAATAAACATTAAAAATAATTTAGTTAAATAAAATTTTCATCTGGGGGGCACCTTGCTGACTCAGCCAGTGCAGCCTGCAACTTCTTGATCTCAGGGTTGTGAGTTCGAGCTCCATGTTGGGTGTAGACATTACTTAAAATTTCAGGGATGCCTTGGGGGCTCAGTCAGTTGAGTGTCCAGCTCTTAATTTGGGCTCAGGTCATGATCTCATGGTTCCTGAGATTGAGCCCCACATAGGGCTTTGCACTGACAGCACGGAGCCTGCTTGGGATTCTCTCTCTCTGCCCCTCCCCATCTTGCTGTCTCTGTCTCTCTCAAAAATATATAAATAAACATTTAAAAAAAACCCTTCATCTCCGAATACTCCGGGCTCACCAGAGAAGACAGCAGTGAGTCCCATCTATGGTTCACCTGGTGCCCCTCATGTTAATATCTTGTCAGAACCAAGAAATTCACTTGTATGTATTAGCATTAACTGTACTCCAGCCTGTATTCCAGTCTCCCCGTTCTGTCCCAGCATCTCACACGCCGTTCACCCATTCTGTCTCCTTAGTCTTAAAATATGACACTTCTTCATGGTCCTTGTTTTTCATGACCTTGACAGTTTTGGGGACTAGTCAGGTGTTTTGTTAAGATGTCCCCTAACCTGGGCTTGCCTGAGGTTACATGGGGGTTATAGGTCTTGGGGAAGAACAGAGTCGAGGTCTCTTATTGTCACTCCCATCAAGAGTCCTTGATGCTCCCCAGACATCACCCTGAGGGGGACTTTGATCTTGACCACCTGGCTAAGGTGGCGGCTGCCAGGCCTTCCCACAGTCAGGCTACTGCCCTCCCCTTCCCTGATCTGATCTTTGGAGTCCTGGAGTCCAGTCTACACTTCAGTGGGAGGGATTTATTTAGAAAGTAAATTTTCATATAGAAAAGTATAAAAAAGAAATGAGACGTGGCCTGTAATTGGGCTTTGTAGGTACTTGCTGACATTTAAAAAGAATAATACAGACACATGGGTTCCCAAAAAAGTTGACTTGTATAGAATGTACTATTAAAACGGGTGTCTGGGTGGCTCAGTCAGTCAAGCCTCTGACCCTTGACTTCAGCTCAGGTCATGATCCCATGATTCATTCATGAGATTGAGCCCCGAGCTGGGCTCTGGGCTGACAGCACAAAACCTGCCTTCTTTCCCTGTCCCCCCCCCCCGCCCCTCCTCCCTTCTCTCAAAATACATAAACATTAAAAATAACTATTAAAGGGGCGCCTGGGTGGCTTAGTCGGTTAAGCGTCCTACTTTCGCTTAGGTCATGATCTCGCGGTTCGTGGGTTCGAGCCCCGCTTCGGGCTCTGTGCTGACTGCCAGCTCAGAGCCTGGAGCCTATTTCAGAGTCTGTATCTCCCTCTCTCTCTGACCCTCCCCTGCTCACGCTGTCTCTCTCTCTCTCTCTCTCTCTCTCCTAGAAATAAATAAAAATATTTAAAAAAATAAATGACTATTAAAACAAAAAGTCTTCACTTAATAAAAAAAAGATGGGGCCATTCCAGCATGTATATACACAGGTACACGTGTCCACATACACACATTCGTACCCTGGAGCCTTGATTCTGAACCTGACTTAGCTGGGGTACCTTCCCTGTGGGCACACGTCTGGGGCCTCTCCGCTCTCCTGTGCCCCCAGGAGCCCCGCCCCTCCACAGCTAGTGACTGCCCCCTGCCCTGCCTGGGTCTTGTAGCCTGGTGAGAGCCAGGCAGTGAGGACAGTAACGGGGCGGGGGCGGCCCAGCTGTGCCGGTTACACTGAGGCCAGGCCCCGACGGCACCGCACGGCCGACAGATCCCGATTATGGCCGGGTGTAATGCCTTGTGCGGGGCCACAGCGCTGGGGGCACCCAGGATGCAGCCCCGACCGCTTTGCCCACACTCTGCGGAGAAGGTGCCCCCTCAGCCATTGCCCAGTTTCCCTGCAGCTGCCCTGTGTGTGGCCCCGGCCATACGGCCTTCCCCCACCCTGCCCCCCTCTTTCTTCACTCTGCACCTGTGCCCTTAGCGGACTCCCAGCTCACTTGAGCCCCTCGAGGGGAAGCTGCTGGGGGGATGGCTCGGAGCTCAATAAAGATCCCCGGAAGCAACAAATGATTCCTGGCTTCTTTCTTGCCCCGCTGGCTCCCTGGGCGCCGGGTGCAAGCTGTGGGTGGGGGAGCCTCAAAGTGCTTCTTGCCTTGTCTGAGCTTGGAGATCCCTTGCTGTGTAGACTGGGCAGCACCTATGGAGGTGTGGGGGGGGGTATCTAAGGCCCCTGAGGGCTGCTGTATTGGTGGGGGGCTGGGGACCCGGCCCAGGGGGCCCGGGGCGTCAGGAACGAGGGCTCCCAGTACCCACCAGGTGCCCGACTGGATAGTCCACGGCCTGGCCGGTCACCTCTGCGGCCTGTAGTCTACCCTGAATCCCTCTCCCGCATCCTCCGTACAGCCACGTGCAGGGTAGGGGTGGGCGCAGAGGGTCTGAGGGAAGACAGAGTCAAGGATGGGGCCCGCGTTCCGGCCTCTGTCCGTACGCGGGCAAGCAGTTCTGCTCCCAGGAGCCCACCCTGGCCACTGCAAGGGCCCCACAGCCAGCCTGGAAGGGGCCGCGGTCGCCAGGGAGGGGGCCACCCTGTCGTCCCACTTCCGCGTCACCCCCGCCTCGGACTGCTGTTAAGGCTGCCCCCGGCCATCTGCGCCCTCGCTGCTGTCGAACTACCGGGCCTGGACGTCCTCGGGGCTTCCACAGGCCCCACCTTCCCCATCCGAGTCCCGGGGATCCCCGCCCAGCGCCTGGGAACGACGTCCCCGACCCTTGTGTACCGGCCGGGCCGGAAGGCTCTGCCTCGCCGAGGCGTCCCGAGCCCGGCCCTTTGCAATCCCACCCGGCTCCCCTTCCCGGCCCCCCGACCCCGCGCCGCCTCCAGCGGACACCGGCCCGCCCCACCCCTCGTGAGGTGCGCACAAGTGCCTTCCGAGCGGGGCGCAGGAAGAAAGGCGAGCGCAGGTTCACTGGGCGGGGCGCCCCGTTCCTCCCTTGCCCAGCCCGGGGCTCCGGGGAAGGAGAAAGGGACGACGGCAGAGGGGGCGCAGGAACGAAGGGGAGCGCGGTCCCGCAGGGCCCAGGTCAGGGAAGAGAAGAGGGGGGGAAGGGTCGCGCACGTGGCCGGGGGGCGGGGCTGGCCGCTTCCGCACCCCCACCCGGCCACGTGGGGAGCGAAGCCCTCCCCCATCGAGAACGGGGGCGCGCCCGGGGCCGGGGTGGAAGCGTCCGGGGAAGGGGCGGGCTCCCGCCGGCCGCGCGCCCTGGTGTGGGGTGGGCGCGCCCGCGGGGGGGCGGGGCGCGCGCCGAGGAGGGAGGGCTGCGCCGGGAGGGGGTGGGGCCGTCCGGGGAGGGAGGGAGGGGCGTGCCGGGACGGGGCGGAGCGCTCCCGGGAGGGAGGCTCCTACCGGGGAAGGGCGGAGCTTGCCGGTGTGGGGAGGGGGTACTCCGAGAAGGGCCCGGGGGCGTGCGCCGCGGGTTACGGAGGCGGGGTCTCCGGCCGGGGGCCCCGCGTGCGGAGGGCGCGCTCGGAGAAGCAGGCGGGGGCGCGCTCCGGGGCAGGAGTGGGCGCGCCGGGGGCGGCTCCTCGGGCCCGGACCCCGCCCCCGGCGGCCGCGCGCGACTGGCAGGGCCGCGGAGGGCGCGCCGGGCGGGGGGCGTGGCCGCGCGCCCCGAGGGGGCGTCCTCCGGGCGGGGCGGGCCGCGGCCGCCCCCGCGGGCTCCGGTGCGTCAGGGCGCGTCAGGCGGGGCGGGGCGGGCCGAGCGCGGGCGGCGGCGGCGGCGGCGCGCGCCGGCCTCCTCCTCCTCCTCCTCCTCCTCCGCCTCCCGCACTCGAGCAGCCGCCGCCGGCCGGACGGGCGCCGCTCCCGCCGCCTCCTTTCAGCCCGCTCGGCCCGCGCCGCGCGCCTCTGCCCGGCATGTCGGCGGCCGTGGCGTGCGTGGATTACTTCGCTGCCGACGTGCTCATGGCCATCTCCTCGGGCGCGGTGGTGCACCGCGGGCGGCCGGGCCCCGAGGGCGCGGGCCCCGCCGCCGGCTTGGAGGTGCGCGCGCCGCGCCGCGAGGCCGCCCCGCCCGGGCCCCCGGGGCCGCCCCCGCCGCCCCCCGCCGCCTCCGGCCCGGGCCCCGCCGCCGCCGCCGCCGCCGCCGCCGCGCCCCACCTGCTGGCCGCCAGCATCCTGGCCGACCTGCGCAGCGGGCCCGGCGCCGCCCCGGGGGGCGCCTCGCCCGCCTCCTCCTCCTCGGCCGCCTCGTCCCCGTCCTCCGGCCGCGCCCCCGGCGCCGCGCCCGCCGCCGCCAAGAGCCACCGCTGTCCCTTCCCGGGCTGCGCCAAGGCGTACTACAAGTCCTCGCACCTCAAGTCGCACCTGCGGACACACACAGGTGAGCCCGCCCCCTGGCCCGCGCGCGCGCCGCCCCTCGCGCCCCTTCCCCCTCCGGGACCCCAAAACTGCGTGGCGCGTGGGGGGCGGGGAGGGGGGCGCGCCCGGGCCGCCGCCGCGCCGGCCGGGAGGGCGGGGCCTCGGTGGGTGGGGCGCGCGCAGGGGGCGTGGCGGCCACGCGGTCGGGCGGCGCGCCGTTGGCGGGCGCGACGGTGCTGGCTGCGGGCGCTCTCGGGGCGCGCGGCGCGCCGGGGTCCGTGGGCGGGATCGGGGCCCCCGGGCCGTCCCCTGCCCCCGGCTCCGTTCCTCAGTGTCCTGTGGCGTTCGTGTCTGGGAGGTGGATACTGTGGCGGGAGCACGCAGCTCCGAGACGGTTGTGGCTTCCCTTCCCTGTCTCAGTTTCCCTGTCTGGAGAGGGAGGAGGAGCCGCGCCGCCGCCTCCGGGATGGCATCGAGGATTCACCCCAGAGGCGCGGGGGCCGGGGTGGGGGTTGCCCCGCACGTTTTTTCCCCCCCTGAGTTTTAATAGGGCGGAGGGCGGGGCTGGGAGTGTGGGTTGGGGCCAGAGTCGGGGGGCGGGGGAGGGATTTGGAAAGGGCTTCTTGAGGGTGTTAGGTCCTCACAGCGTTAGGAGGCAGGGTTGGGGGCAGGGTTAGCGACACTTGTCACCCCTCACAGCCCGGCGGGGGGGATAGGGGGCTGCGGGGGACGGCTGGAGGAGCCCCAGGGGGGCGCCGTCATCATCCTTTCTGTCACCCCCTCCCGGGTCCCCCACCCTTGGCGCTGAAAATGGTCTCCCGGCTGGATTGGGGGGCTAGATTGGGTTGGGGCTGTCAGGGGGAAGGTGGGTCTCCATGGCCCGCCTGGGTTTGAGTGTGGAAGGCGGTCCTGCCCTGGCGATGGGCTGTGAGGATGCCCTTGGATTTCAGCCCTGTCACTCTCCAGCACCAGGCCTGTTACCCGAGCTCAGTTTTTCCATCTGTATAAAGGGCGCGTGAAATTCTGCCTCCAGAACGTCCCTGAGGATCATGTCGCAACACGGGCTCTGTGGACACACTCTGATTGTGGAGAGGGCGCAGGAAAGCAGGGCTGGCCGCCCTGGTGTCCTGGGGGACACGGTGGGGCAGCCCCAGGTCACTTGCAGGCCCTCAGATGCCAGGCACCCTCCTCCCTGCTCAGTCCTCATTCTGTCCACGGGGACTTACAGTCTCTGCTGGCTTGTGAGCGTAAGACAGGATAGGAGAGCCAGGGCCAACTTGGGGTGGGGTCTGCGTCTCCTCCTGGGGCCACCGTCCTCTCCCGAGCAGTCCCTGGCCCTGTCTACACTTGGAGGCACTGAGATGTGTGTGAGGCCCCCCCGGGGGTCAGTGAAGACGGGTAGGCATCTTTATGTGGCTCTGAGGGGAGATTCCTCTCTGGGAGGAGGGCTGGGTCAGAGCAGAGCCCTGGCTCATTCTGGGTGGGTTGGCCTGTCTGAACAGTGGGGGTGCTGGAGTGGGCGACCGTCCAGAGAGGGACCCCGTTTCTCCCATTGGGCTCCTCCTCCTGTCCCGTCACCAGCCCTAGGTGAACGCTGCGTGGCGAGGCCTCGGTGCGCTGACTTGTTTTTTCCCTTCTGGGTCCGTTGAAGGGGGCGCCCAGGCCACCTCCTAGGCAGCTCCCGGGACACACTCCTCCGGGGCGCCCTGGACTCTTTCAGAGGCTCCCTAGGCCCCCAGGCGGTGGTGGCCGGCTCCGTAAGTCCCGGGGGGAAGGAGGGACTCTTTGCTGGGGCCAGGACGGCCATGTTGTCATCCGTGTTTTAAATGAGAAATTTAGGCTCACAAGGCCCAGCCGGGGGTGTCCCAGGGGAGGGTCCCTAGCCCCGTGGGCTGTGGCTCTGGGATGCCCTGTCCCAAAGTCTTCTTTGTGATAATGGCGTGTGGCCCCAGAGGACACAGCTCCTGGACCGACTGACCGTTCCTGAGACTGTCAGCCCCGGACTTGGACAGACACCCCTCGTGCTGTTTCTCGAGGGTCTCGGGCACCTGTCTGCTTCAGCCTGCAGGTTCGGGGTGTCCTGACGCCCCAGGACCACGAAGCCCTGCGTAGCTTTTCTGGCCCCTGGTGGAGAGGTGGCTGCTGTTATGCCTGGCTTGGGGGTGCAGAAGCCATGCTTGTCCCGGGTCCCGAGGCTAGCTTGGTGCTGCCCATTCCCAGGGACTGGCCTGGGGACAGATGTGACAAGGAACAATAATTCCACTAGCTGTCTGCTGAGCCGTCCCCAGAGGGCTTTTGGGAGAGAGTCCTGCCCTCCCCTCCCACCCCCCCGCTTTTCGCTGAGGTTCACTCTCCGTAAAGGCAATGAATCCCGATCCCAGCCTAGCTCCATTTTACAGATGAACAGACTGCGATCAGGTGCCTGGCCCGAGTCCAGCGTGGGACCCCCGTCGCCCTTTCTCCACGTGGCGTGGGGGTGGTGAGGCCGGGAGGGCAGGGAGTCTTTGGGAGGGCCACCGAGCTGCAGGGGCAGGATGTGCTGTGCGCCCCCCCCCCCCCCCCCCCCCCGGGTCTGGCCTGCAGCCCCAGCTCTGTGTGGGGTGGGCAGGCAGTTCGGAAGCTTCAGGAGAAGTTGACGCTGTTGCTATGGATACGGAGATGAGAGGCTGATGGGGCGGGGGTGGGAGGAGAGGCTGGCTGGCTGCTCCCTGCTCTCCCAACCTCCAGATCCGGACTGCTCCCCTGCCCCAGAGCCCCCAGCGCCGAGCACGCAATGAGCCCCGCGCCTTCTGGGGTCTCAGGCTCCTTCCTGGCGAGAAAGACTCAGATCTGGAAGTGGAGCTTCTGGGTCAAGGTCTGATCCCCGGGGCACAGCTGAGATTCTCTGCCGGGCGTCCTGGGCACCTTGGGGGCTTCTGCAGCGTCCCTGGCCTTGGCCACTCAATCCCAAGAATCCCAGGAGCGTTCCCAGTTGCGACCAGTGACAAGTGTCTCCTGGGGGGGTTGCAAGGTCACCCCCCCAGGAGAGAGCCCCTGTTTTTCTCTAAAACCCTATCTCCTTAGGCTTGAGGAGTGTTAGGTGGACATCCAGCCTGTGCAGGTACTGACGCAGCCCTTGTGCTCTGACGCTCTGGAACCTGGGGAGGGGGTGACAGCAGCCCGAGGGAGAAAGGCCTCTCAGCTGAGAGCATGGGGTCTGGTGGGGCAGGAAGGGGTGTGTCCCCGGAGAGGGGGCCACGCCCTGGCTTCGGGGGATGGGGGCAAGGGCCCTGGGGCAGGAGTTCTGATGGAGACCAGTGAGATGGGGAGGGTCAGAGGAGGTGAAGGGTTCCATTTAATCCCAAGGGCAGGGTGGAGGGTGGGGAGGAAGGCAGGCCCGGCTTTGCAGAGGAAAATCCGTTTATGGAGCAGGGATTAGGGCCCGGGAGAGGGGTTGAGGAGGGCAGCTGTAGGGGCGGGAGAGGGGTGGGCCGACCCACACACTGGGTCCCAAGTAAGAAGCCCCAGGACCCAGGGCGTGGGGGGTGGCTAGGCGGAACCCTAGCTTTTCTGACTGAGCAGCCCAAGGGGAGGCAGGGCGGCAGAGGAGGTATTCTTTGCTGAAGAGGCCCCCAGGGGAGAGGCAGGTGGGGAAACTGAGGCCAGGATGGGACATCCTGGATGAGGCATCGCCCTCCCAGGGCTGAGCAGACAGCAGACCCCACCGTCTCCCCCTGGCAGATCTGTGAGCTCCTTTAAGGACAGGTGCGGCTCGGTAGACTGGTGGCGTCTGGGGGGCAGGGTAGGGCAGTGCCAGGGGCCGGAGGGGGTGGGTGTGGCCTGCGGGCTCCACCCAGCTCCATCCTCGAGCAGGCAGGGTGCCGAAAGCAGCTGGAACAGACTTCAGGTGGTGCCCTAACTGGGGGGTGCAGGAGGGCCCCCACCGCTGTGCGGGGTGATAACCACCCCCCACCCAGGCTCCCTGATAAAGGTGCCCAGATGGCCCTGGAGCTGGCAAGTGATACCAGTTCCAGGAGCCGGCTGCCAGCCTAGGGAGGGCTGGAGGGCCGGCCCTCCCTGTCCCCTTGCTCAGACCTGTTCTCCTCATCACTCGTGCGGGGGGGGGGGGGGGTGTAGGGTGTTAGCCCCTCATCCCCAGGCACCAGGAGCCCCCTGTGCCAAAGATGCCAGTCTGGGTGTGAAGTGAGCGATGGCGGTGTGGGTGTTCAAGGAGGAAGAGGCTGCAAGTGACTGGACCTTTAAATAAATGGTAGTGAAAGCCCCTGCCTCGAGGTTAGGCCGCAGCCCGAGCTTGGTCGCCCAGCCTGTAGACTCTCCCCACAGATGCGTCAGGTGCCCACGGCCTGCCAGGCCGCGCCCTCAGCTTGGCAGTCAGGTGAGGGGGCAGATGTCACACCTTGGAGACGCTAAGCACAAGGTGAGCGAAGCTGAGAAAGGGGACAGCGGAGTGTACCCGCTGACCGGTGCTGGGGTGACGCTGTGCAGAGAAGGGGCAGAGTGGCGGGGAGACATTCCAGGCATCAGGACGGGGGATAGTTGGTGGGGCTGCAGAGAAGCCGCCGGAGGGTGGAGGGTCAAGGTAAACATTTCGGCCTTGACCCTGGATCGGGGAGTAGCTCTGGGAGGGCAGCGGGCAGAGCGGCGGGCAGAGCGCAGACTGGGCAGCTCGCTACAAGCTTATGGGCTACTGCACCAGGCCAGGCAAGAGCTGGGGGCTAGAGCCAGGCTGGGGTCTGGAGGTACTTTGAAGGGGTAACTGCTGGGATTTGCTGCCAGGTCCCACGCGGGCCAAGCTGAGGGGCTGGGATGGCTGGGCGGTGCGTCTGTGGCCACCACGCTGGGCCTGAAAGGGAAAGCTACAGGCGGAGTGGGGGCGGGGAGGCGGTAAGCGTGGCTTTGGGGGCCAGGGGTGTTTAAAATCACAGAACATGGGGCATCTTGGTGGCTCAGTCGTCCGACTCTTGATCTTGGCTCCGGTCATAATCTCACAGTTCCTGGGATGGAACCCGGGTCAGGCTCTGCGCTGACAGCACGGAACCTGCTTGGGACTCTCTCTCTCTCTCTCTCTCTGCCCCCCCCCGGCTCGCACACGCTCTCTTTCTCGAACAAATTAAAAAAATAATAAAATCACGGAACAGGGGCGCCTGGCTGGCTCAGTAGGTGGAGCATGAGACTTCATCTCGGGGTGAGTTCGAGCCCCACGTCGAGGGTGGAGATCACTTAGGCACTACGAAATAAAATCACAGAAGAGACAAGCCTTCACGGGCTGGTCTCTGTAAAGCCATAATGGCTGCTTGAAGGGGGGCCCCCGCCCTGCTCCCCAGACCTTACCATCTATTTCCACCTTCCTGCTGTATTTCCAGAGCTGCCCTCTGGGTCCTTTCTGGACTACTCAGGGGCCGTCCTCAGGTAGCCCCAGCCTTCTGTGGCTCTCGGAGACTGCGCCCTCCCTCGTGCCCCCCCATGCAGTCCACCTTCTAGGTGGCATTTGTGCAAGGGCCCTCTGCCAGGCACACGCCCTCCCTACCCCTGGGGATGACCTCAGGGGGTCATGGTGAAAGGTGCTTGTCAGAGCCCTGGTCCTTGGCCCCGGCCCCTGGGGGGGGGGGGAGCACCCACCCCATGCGGGCCAAGCTGGCCTGGCTCTGGGACGCCTTTGCTCTGTCCTGTACCGGGTCTCAGGGCCCCTCGTTCTCCATTTTCCTGAGCTTGCATGGCACCCTGGTGGCTCCCACTGTCCCGAGGTCAGCTCAGCCCAAGTCAAAAGGTCATGTCCACGAGGGGCCCGCCCACCACATCTTCCTCCGGTCCCTGCTCCAGGCCGCTGTGGGGCCGCCGGGCATACCTGGGGTCCCCGCGTACCTGGGTCCCTCCAGCCCTGAGCTTCCTGATGAATCCCCCACCCACCTCCTGGCTAGTGGGCTGTGGGAGGTGACAGGGCCTGGTATCTCGCAGGCATTCGCTCCACGTTGTGGGGGCGGGAAGCCTCCGCGCCCAGGTCCCCGCCACCCGCGTGTGCACGTGAGCTCCCCAGCAACTGGGTGTGCGGCGGGGCTGGCAGGCGTCCAGGCGGCGCGGCGGGCCGACCCCGGCCCCCGCCCCCGCCCCCGCGGGAGCGGGGCCACGTGAGCGCGCCGGCGGGGCTGCGGATGCCCCGCCGCCGCCGGGCTACGTGCGGCAGCTGTGCTCCCGGCGGCTGCTTGCGTCCTGCCCCAGTGGGCGCTGGCACGGCTCTCGCAACCTGCTCGCTGCAAAGTAGAACTGCCGGGGGGGGGGGGGGGGGGGGGGGGGGGGGGGCGGGGGGCGGGTACCAGCCCGGCGGCCCGAAATGGGGAAGTGAGCCAGCTGCGGGGCGCGCCCGCCGCGGGACGCAGCCCCCCTCCCGCCCCTCCTGCGCCCTGCAAGATGGCGACAGGACTGCGCCCCTCCGAAGGGGCGCCGCTCCCCTCGCACCAGGTCTGGTCTAGAGCCAGCAGCCCCGCCTCCAAAACCCGGGCGCCCCTCCCCCAGACCGCGGCCCTCGGGAACTGTCAGATCCAAGCTTTCCGCCGTCCAGGTGGGGTGGGGGTCCCTTCCCAGGCGACTTGGAGCTGCGTGGTTCCGTAGAGGATGTCCTTGCTGAGATCCCTCCCTCTGCCTTCTGGATTGTTCCAGGGAAGGGTGCAGCCCCAGAGACTTGGGGTCCGCGAGGTCTTGGGCACAGTTGTGTGGCCTTTCCCGGGGGTAGGTGGGAAGCATACCTGGATTCACAGGCCCCTGGGGCACGTCCTGCCGCAGCCGTGAGCACGACGCACAGGTAACCCACAAGAAGTCTTCGCGGGGGCACCGCTGGACTCTACCTCCTCCTCTGGCGCTGGGGGTTGCCAGGAAGAAGGGACGGGGGAGGGGAGGTTTTGATCCAGCTCTTTCCTGGGCCCTGGGAGACGGCAGGAACCCTTCTGCCTCTTCTGACCCCTGCTCCACCCTGCCCCCCGCCCCCCCCAAGCCGTTCTCCCCAGGACAGCCCCTTAACCTTCAGAGCGGAGATGCTCCTGGCCCACCCTGAGAGCTCACACCCTGTTCCCCCCATGGCCGCAGGTCTGTCCGTGGTCCTTCCTGCTGGCTCCCGGTTACCTCCCCGCTCCCCTGTCCATCCTGTTTGGGGGCCCTTTCTCTGATCCTAGGCCGTGCACCCTCTTCTGGGTGTGTGTTCCCTGAGACGAGGTCAGCCTGGATCATCGCAGGGCCCAGGATCTGACCCCCCCCCCAGTGGCTTCCTACGATTCCAGAGCTCTCCCTTCCTACGTGGGGCTCCATCCAATGCCACAAAGGGTGTCTGTGGCACAGCGGGGTGGGCACCACGGCTCGGTGTCCACACCCCACCACACACACCCTCCAGAACTCCTGGACGAAGCAACACCTGGGGAGTCCAGGGTCCGGGGTGCCGGGCGCGGGCACAGGGTGTAAGCTCCAGGATGCTTACCACCCCTTGATCTGGGGCGTGGCGGGGTCCGCGGTGGACCCTGTGTACAGATGGGGCCCTCGGCGCCCCCGGGTCAGCCGGGGACATGCGGACAGTACTCGCAGGGGGTCTGGCTGAAGGGTTCTGGGGGAGAGGCTCCAGACGAGGGGTGGGTGAGGGGTGGGTGGGGACTGGCGCTCATGCCCGGCAGCTCTGTTCAGTTCGCGGCAGGATGGGCGAGGCCAGCCGGGGAGGTGGGAGGGGTCTGCAGAGGAAGTCGCCGGGTGGCGGCCCGCCCCGCCCCTCCCCTCCCCTCCCGGCTGTTCCGTGGGGGCGGGGTGAGGCCAGTGGCCGTGGCCTCCAGGCCCAGGCCCTCCCCTTCCCGGCGGCGTTCTCAGCCTGGGCCTCCCTCTGCCGGCGTGTGGGCTGCAGGTGGCGCTAAGGGCCCTTCACGTGTTCTCTGCCTGTAGAGGGGCCGCAGGGTCAGTGGGTGGTTGGGCCACGGGAATCTGCCCAGACACCCCCACAGCGACTTTGCTGCGTCCCTGGGGATCATTCTCCAAAGGAGAGCGCTAACCAGAGCCCCCTGTGCTCTCCAGAGGGAGCGGAGGTGGCTGTGGGGGCCGCAGGGCCCATTCGCATGGGGAGAAGCCCCTGCAAAGCCCCCGCGTGCGTCCTGAGCAGGCGCACACGTGTGTGCGGCTTGTGCACCGCGAGACCCAGCCACGGCGGCGGGGGGGGGGGGGCAGCCTCTGCCGGGGCTGCTTTTAACGCACGGAAACTGCTCGTGGAATTGCTACAAGTTCATAGGACATACAGGGCAGGAATACTAACTAGGGATTCTGGAAATGAGCGGGGCTTCCCATTGCACACTTCCGCGTTTTAAATTCACAGCCGGGGTTCAGGCTCTAGCAGCAGGTGGAGGGGGAGACGAGTTGCCGCCCCCCGCGCCCCCCGCCACTGACCGCGCTGCCTGTGCTCTGCCTCCTCTGCCCAGGTGAACGCCCCTTTGCCTGTGACTGGCCTGGCTGCGACAAGAAGTTCGCGCGCTCCGACGAGCTGGCGCGCCACCACCGGACGCACACCGGCGAGAAGCGCTTTCCCTGCCCGCTCTGCTCCAAGCGCTTCACCCGGAGCGACCACCTGACCAAGCACGCGCGCCGCCACCCCGGCTTCCGCCCGGAACTGCTCCGGCGCCCGGGCGCCCGCAGCGCCTCACCCAGCGACTCGCTGCCCTGCAGCCTGGCCGGCAGCCCCGCGCCCAGCCCCGCGCCCAGCCCGGCCCCCTCTGGCCTGTAGGGCCCTAGTCCAGCCCGCCCTGCCGCACCCCTGCTGGGCCTGGGCCTGGAGCACCAGCAAAACGCCTGCTGTCCATAGCCCGGGGAGGGCCACGGAGCGACAGCCAGCGTCCCCGACACTGGGGGGTGGGGGGGAGGTGGCCCTCGGGAGGGGTGGCTGGGGCCCCGTGTCTGTAAATAGCCATGTTGGATAACTCTTCCTATGTGTTAAACGGGAACCCCAGGTGGGCAGCCGTCAGGCACTCCCCTCCCCCCATCGCCACCTCCCTGCTTTGGAGAGGGTGGGTCTGGGGGGAGCGGCCCAGGAAAGCGGCACATAACCAGTGCTCAGACTTGGCCCCCCAGGCCCCCTCTCCAGGTTGGGATGATGTGTGCAAAGAGCCATAGATGAACCAGGGGTTCCCGCGGCCCCACCCCCACCCGGCCCGGGGCCCCTCACCCCACTGAAAGCCATTGGAGACGTTCAGGGAACTGGGGTGCGGCCCCAGCCGCCCCCATCCGGGTACTCAATCTCAGGTGTCCACAGAGTCTGCCCTGCCGCCCAGCCCCCCCAGCAGTGGGGGCAGGGTGGGGAGGGGGGAGGCAGTAGGGTCCAGGTTTTGCTCCTAAAACTGGGGTAGGGAGGGAGAGAAAGGGGTTCTTCCAAAGAGCATTTGGACTCTCGTTGAGGCGAGGCGGGTGACATGGGCTGGGGCAGATGCCTGCTTATTTATTTTCCTGTCTCTGCTGGTAGGAAGGAGGGGGCGGGGAGCTGACCCCCTCAGGGCGGGTGTGTGAGTGTGTGAGTGAGGACTGCTCCCGCCAGGGTGGCAGCGTTGGCCTTCCACAGCATCATGTGACAATCAATCCCTCCTGTTTGGGACCATGACAGTCATTGAGCATCGGGCAGCCCTTCCCTGCAGGTCCCCTGGTCGCGTGGCCCCTGGACCAGAGGCTGAGGTCCTGCTTTGCAAGGGCAGGAAGCATGAGGGCTGACCCCTGAACCCCATGGGATAGCTTGCTTTTTTGGACCGGAGAGAATATTTTTTCAGGCGCCAATCCCTTTCTTGATCTGGGCCCCATGGGTGGTCCGTTGTCCTCAGGGGGTGTGGGTGTTGGGGAGGGAATGTCTGTGTGACCCGTACTTGGGGGGCGGGGGTAAGCGGCACGGCCCCTCCCTGTGTCTGCCCACCGTGGCTTCGGCTGGATTTCATTTTGGGTGGGGGCTGAGGACGGCGCCCTAGAGCGGGAGAGGCCCCGGGGCCCCTGTCCGAAGACCCTGAAAGGGCCTGTCTCCCACCGTCGGCCACAGGAGGCTTGTGGCCCTCACGTGTGTTCCAGAACCTTTCTGTCTCCCCAGTGGGGGCTGGGGGTCTGGATGGCGTTGGTGTGGACTGGACCTGGCCTGGCAGCATGGGGGTGGGTGCCGGGGGTCCTGGGGACAAGGCCAGGGAAGCCCTTTGGAGCTGGGCTGGGAGGGGGCCGTCTCACCCAGTCTCTGGGCGCTCTTCGCAGGGCTGGTGCGTTTGTGCCCTTAACCCCCCCTTGCCAGCAGTGTCGGTGAGATGCCTTAGTCTGCGGGGGCAGAGGCGGGGTCCCTGTTCCTGTGTCTTCATGGACATTCTCCCGGTTGCCCCACCCCCGGCCGGTGTCTCTGCGGGACACAAACTGCAGGTCTGAGGGCCACTCATCCCTGGACCCTCTTCAGCGTCCAGGGCCCCGGACCGACCTGGGCCCCTCCTCCCCCAAGGACCTGGAGGTCACTGGGACCTAGTTTCAGCCACTTCGCGGTGGCATCTCAAGGGGAGGGAGGGGGGAGGGCCCAAGGGACTCGTGCTTTCAGGTGGCGCCCCCCCCTTCCCCTGTCCTGCCTGGCCTTTTCCTTGTATTTAATTAAACAAGCCCTTTTTTAAACCCGACTCTGGTGCCTGTGTGGTCTTTCCCACCTCTGGCCTCCAAGCTGAGAACTCTGAGTCACTGTGTCCCCCTCGACAGGGTAGCCCCCGGGCCACCAGCGTCCTGCTGCAGAAAATGAGGCATCGGGCTCTTGAATCCCGGATCCTGGCGGCCGCAGAGTTAACGCCCCCTCAGCCCTTCGGCCTGGGGAGGGGGCTGCTCGAAGTAGAGCGCGCCGCCGTCCCATGTCACCCACGCCCCGCGCAACTGCGTCCCCCTCCTTCCCGCTCCGTTACCCGGCAACCGAGGCGCGGTGACACTGCGCCCGGGGGCGTCCCGCGCCCACCCCCTTCCGGCGGCGCCGGGAGCTGGGCGGCAGGGCAGCCTGCGACGCTGGGGCTGCTCGTGGGCGTGACAGGGTTCCTCCCCAGATGGTCCCCCGTCCCTGCCGTCTCCACCCCACCCTCCGTGCCCCGCCAGGCCCCTGTGCCCGTGGGTCTGCCCACGTTCCGCACGCCGGCCACGTGCCAGCTCCCGACTGGAGGCGGCGGGCGGGGGTGGGGGCTTGGTGAGGGCTTGGCGCCCCCGGGAGCACTGAGAAGCCGATGAGGGTCTCGGACCCCTTCCCAAGACATGGACACCCAGATTCCAGCGATCTCCGGAGCCCCGAAGGCGGGTGTGGCTTGGGCGGGGAGCGCAGACCGTCCCCAAGGGCTCTCCGGAGTCCGGCCCCCGGGGAAGGCGGAGGCTGCGCCCTCTGGCGGCCGCCCCTGTCATTGCACCGCCGGCTTCCGCCGCGCCCTCCCCGGGGTCCTGCCCTGGCGGCCGCGCAGGTGGCCCCCACCTGAGCTCTCGCCCTTACTCGGCCTCCGCGTTGCGTCCGCCTAACTCCTGATTCACTTTGTCCCGCTTTCCACTGGCTTCTGCCCCGCAGGCCCGCAGACAGTGCTCCCTAGACCCCTGTCCCACTGTCCAGCTCTAGCTGGCCTTCTGCCCCTTTCGGCAGAGTTCCCGGAATTTGGGGAACGCAGCCCCTGCCTCCAGTCACTTGGACACAATCGCACGTGCTCTGAACGGCTCGAAGATGTCCCCCATCTGCCTTCGGGACACTCCCTGGTCATGCGGCCTCGGGGACCCCTGCCCCTCCCCGATACCCCACACCCCAGGCCCAGGTTTCCCTCTGGCTGTGCTCCTTGTACGCTCACATCCCCGTGTGCAGACGGCACTCCCTGGTCAACCCCAGGACCTCACGCCCAGCTGCAGACCCCGAATGTGCCCACGCGCACCCCCACGCTGCCCGGTCCTGTCGCCCCACTCCCACCCCGGGCATTGGCACTTGCCCTGGTGTGCAGGCCAAAATCCTTGACCTTGACTCAGTTTCACTACCATGTCCATTCCATCCAGAAATCTCCCCAGAGTTTTCAAAGTACATCCGAAATCTGCCTACTGTGCCCCGTCCTGGGCCTCCACCTAGTCCACCCCATCATCTCATCTCAGGCAGCCTCCTCCGCCCGGGTCCGCAGGGTCGCGCAGGCCCACGTCGCCCCGCCCCCATCCGGCCTCCCCTCCGTGGCCACCAGAGGGCGGCCGTGAGCGCCCGAGTCGGGTCCCGCCCGCTTCTGCCCGCAGCACTCGAGGCTCCCACCTCCCTCGGCAGTGTAACCGCCTAAGTCCTCGCTAAAGTCCCCAGGGCCCTGTACACGCTGGCCCGTTCCCTCCATCCCGTCCACTCCTCCATGTTCCCCTCGTCCCCGCTCTGCTCCAGCCACACGGGCCTCCTCCCGGTGCCTCCAACACGCGGGCCTCGTGCTGCCCCCAGGGTCTTTGCACGGACTGCGCCCGCTGCCCGGAATGCCCGCCCCGCTCCTTAGAACGGCTCAAATCCCACCTTCCTCAGAGGACCACAGGACCCCCTCAGTCCCCTACCCCGTTCTACTCCCCCCACCCCGTAGCACTTGCATCGCGCTCTCCCATTTACTTATTTCCTATTGTCCATCGCCCCCGCTGAGAACACACTCCCACCAGGGCGGGGGTCTTGGCCTTGTTCACGGATGTTTCTAGCACTGTGTCTGGCATATAGTAGGTGCTCGGTGAATATTTGCTGGATGCGTGACGAAGGCCAGTGGGCGTGAACGGAGACCAGGTGGGCTCGCGTGGGGTGCCCTCGCCTCGCCTCACACTCCTTCAAGCCACCCTCAGGGGCCCGCCCTCTGTTCGCGGCGGTGACAGGTGTCGGGAGACCCCCGCGCCAGGGCCTCGGGTGGCTGGGGTGAGGGCAGCAGCCTGGGAGGAGCCCCTCACGTGCTCACAGGGGTCCGTGGCCATCCCGAGCGGCAGGACCCGAGGGCGGCCAACTGTTCATAGAGAGGCTGGGAATGGCGGCTCGTAGGTTACGTCCCCCAGCAACCAATTTATATCATTTCAAAAACCAGTACAGCGCTCAAGAAACCGGGTCCCCAAACACGCACATTGAAAACAAGCACACGCACGTGCACAGCAGCACAGAGCACGACGCCCAGAGTCGCGGCAGCCAGGTGCCCTCGACAGGTGAACGGACACACACGTGTCCACCGCGCACGCGCAGTCACTCGGGTGCGTCCACAGCGCATGCCCACAGAGGACCGTGTCCACCGCGCATGCGCACGTCCCTCAGGTGCGTCCACCGCGCACGCGCACGACCCTCGGGCCGCGAGCAGGAGCGAGGCGCCCACACCCGCCGCCTCGCGGGCGGACCCCGAACACACGACGCTCAGGGAGGGAACCAGACACGGGAGGCCGCGCGGGTGTGAGTCCGTGTGTGAGAAACGTCGAGAACAGGCTCCTCCACGACCAGGAAGGGGCTCGTGGGGGCCAGAGGCTGGGTGTGGGGGCCGGAGCTGGGGGAGGTGATGGCTGATGGGAATGGGGTTCCTTTTTAGGAATTACTGAGGTGATAGTTGCACAGAAAAGTGAATATACCAAATGCCCCTGAATTTTCACTTTTAAAAAATCAATTTTTTTTGTAAATTTGTTTAATGTTTATTTTGAGAGACAGAGAGAGAACAAGAATCCCAACAGGGCTCGAACTCACAAACTGCGAGATCATGACCTGAGCAGAAGTCGGATGCTTGACCGATTGAGCCCCCCAGGCGCCCCTGAATCCTCACTTCTAAAATGATTAGTTTGGGGGGGGCACCTGGGGGGCTCAGCCGGTAGAGCATGTGATTCTTGATCTCAGGGTCATAAGTTCAAGCCCTATATGGGGTGTAGAGATTACTTACCAATAAAATCTTAAAAATAAAATAAAAGGGTTAGTTTTGTTAATGTGAATTTCCCCTAAATAAGAAAGGGAAATCCACCGAGTGGAACCAAACAGGGCAGAATTTGTCCAGGAAGCCCCGTTGTCCCATCTGCCTCTGCCTGCATCTCTTGGTTTTGGTCACTAAGGTCTTATCCCACTTAGCACACATCAAATGCAGTTTTCTGCACCGCTTAGAACCGAGGACACATTCTTTCCTTCGACATTAACTGATCCATGTTACAGATAATGTGTTTAGGTTCTGTGTCCGGCTGGGTCCTGGGGTCACAGGCCCTGACCCTGACATCCCCTTCGTTTGATGAGAGGTGGAATGCAGGCAGATGAGAATAAAATTCCTACGCGGTCAGAAATAGAAAATGTGAGGCTGCCATGGCGGGAGATCCTCGGGGAAAAGTGTGATTGTCAACTGCATCCTTCATGGCTCCCCGCCCTCTGTGGCTCCCCATTGCCCTCCCGGCTCAGACAGCAAGGACCCTGACACACTCACAGCCTCAGGCTGCCTCTTGCCTGGACACTTGCTCAAGCAAGGGTCCCTGTGCTCAGAAGCCCCTGTAATATTCTATGTGCTCTTCCACTGTCCGCGCTTGCTGCATTTCACCAGGAGCTCTTGGTGATATGGCCAAAGGAGCAAGGGGTGTCTGCCCTCAGGGCCCGCTGATTAGCCACAAGACAGGCTCCAGACAAAACATCAGATCCCGTCCTATGGAGAGTCCTCTCGGACCCTCTCCCTCCCACCTGCCCTCCATCACTGTACCTTTTAGCCAATTAATTCGTAATTGCGGTAAAAATACATCACATAACATGTTCCCTTGTAACCTTTTGTGAGTGTACAGCTCAGGGGCATTAAGCAAATGCACACTGTCATGCAGCTACCCCCACCATCCATCTCCAGAACATTCCATCTTCCCAGACTGAGACCCTGTCCCCATGAAACACTGACTTCCCATTCCCCGCCCACGACCCCCAGGCTCCCATCTACTCTCTGTTTCTGTGGACAGGACTCCTCTAGGGAGCCCCTGTGAGTGGGGTCATGCAGGACATGCATGTCCTTCTGTGTCTGGCTTCTGTCACTGCACACAGTGTCCACCGGGCCCATCCACGTGGTGGCAGGTGGCAGGACGTCCTTTCTTTTTCAGGCTGAATAATATTTCATTTCATGGATAAACCACGTTTTGCGTATCCACTCATCTGCTGATAGATACAGATCGCTCCCATCTCTTGGCTATTGTGAATCATGCTGCTCTGAACAGGGGGGCACAAACATGTCTTCAGGACCTTGCTTTCCATTCTTTTGGATATACAACCAGACGTGGGATTTCTGTATCATAGGGTAGCTCCATTTTGAACTTTTTGAGGAACCGCCGTACTATTTTCCACCATGGTTGCACCATTTTATAAACCCACCAACATGCAATGGGTCAATCTCTTATACAGCTATATATATATATAAATTTGAACTCAGGACGCTGAGATCAAGAATCGCTCGCTCCACGGACTGAATCAGCCAGGCGCCCCGTTGTTACAGTTTTTCATTAAGATGTTGGCCTAACCCTCCAGGGTCCAGGGAGCCTCCTCTCCCCCACCTCATCCCTCATTTGTCCAGGTCAAGGTAGCATCTAGGGTAGATCCTGGTATACAGCAGGCACGCAATTTTACGTGAACACACGAATGAGTGAGAACAGGATTCCCGTAGGTCCGGGACAGGCGTCCAGGTGGGAGAAAGGA